GCTGCAGAAACCTCGTCCATGCCTGAGACTGTGGCCGACAGGGCAACATCCATCCTTAAGTGGTGCGAAGGTAAAGACCGTTCCTGAGGTCGGAACGTAGAGTCTCTTTGCCATTTGTCTGCAGTGCCTGACGAGATCTAAACTAAGAACAGTCTCAAAAATGGGCAACCATGAAGTACATTAAATAACGTCAGTCGCGCCATCCCAATCAATCAACGACAGACAATAACCGCTGAATCACACCTACAAAGCGCGAGCTAGGTATCTTACAACCAATAGAGAAACAGCTACTACTCGATGCGAATTATCTGATACACCAAGGCGCATCTGAACGGGGCTTGATGAGTTGATGGAGCAACAGCTGTTTCAGCCTGGAATTGGTGATTCTGTTCCAGGCCAGAAGACTCCGAGGCAACTCACTGAGATAATGTGAGGATTGATAACTCAACGCCGTATTCTTACAGCAGTCATCTACACTGCCTGCAATGTATTTCTTTGAGATACCTTCCCAAGTTTTGTTATCGTCACAATCATATCCAAGATACTCAACTTAATGCAGCCATGATGACATACTAAGTTACTGGCCAATCAGATGCCGCCTGTCCCTCTCAGTCTCAGTCTGCGGGGTCGGTGACTAAAATGCCAACAATAGCATCACGGACAGGCCAAAGCAATAGTAATGGTCAAACGTACAATTGTTCTGACTGAATGAGAACGGATGGACCACTCAGCTCGTTCCAAGCGCACTTCCAACGCGTACGTCTCCCAGTTTCGTAGCCGAGTGCCCGACTGACTGCCACAGGTGTCAGCGATGTCGAGCTCGCAAGGTCAAATGTTCCGGTACGCTGCCTTGTGACAAGTGCCGCAATCGGCAGCAAGCTTGCGTGTTTGAGGAAGATCGGAAGATTGTAGTTTCTGAAGAGTATGTCGATGAAGGCCAGCATGATATCTGGTTCTAACGGACATTGAGGTTGTTTCTTTCGCTCAAGAGGAAAGTGGGCGAACTAGAAGACTCACGTACATCGACACCGTCAAAGCGGCCTCGCTTCGTAGAGGGTCATGCCAGTAATTCTGAATCTAGCGGTTCAAAAGAAGCGCCGCAGTCAGTGTCGGAGCCATGCGGAATCGGTACGCCTGAGCAACAGGAGTTGAATCGACACGATGAGCGATTCGCCTCCAATCCCTTGGTATCACCATCCACCTACGTGAAGAACAGCGGACGCACACAACGGGCCTGGTGTATGCTATTAACCTGAAAGTAAGAATTTCGCTAATGGTCGACTATCAGTACTTCTTGGTCCTACCTCGACATGGTCATTCAGCCGTCGGGTCCTCAGCACGATTCAGACCCGGCTTAACCCTACAAGCACCAAACCGATTCCTCTGGCCGTCGACGGCGATGCATATCAGATTCACTGGCGCCAGGCTAGCTCCGAAGAGATCCCGGATATAAGCGGACTCCCTCCTCGCGATCAAGCAATCTATATGCTCAACACGGTCCATTTCCATTTCGGCCATCCGTATCAGCTCTTTGATGAGGAAGGCTTCGCCCGTAACTTGGAGGAGTTCTATAATAATGCATCCGCAAAGGTCCAGGAATCCAGGCTGTGGTACGTGCAGTTTCTCGTCGTGCTTGCGTTCGGAGAGGCATTGCTGGCGCCTGTGCGAAGGGCATCAAATACTGCATCATGGACAAAGTACTTCTCCCGAGCGATGTCACTGTTACCAGATACCACGGCGCTCTGGCAGGATCCTCTTCTCGCCATTGAGGTTCTGGCGCTCATTGCGCTGTATCTTCACTCCGTGGATATGCGGGACTCGGCATATTGCTATGTATGCATTTGCCACTTCATGATCGATGGACGACGACTGACGAGCGCAGATCGGTCATGCCATGCGTATGGCTCTGGTCGAAGGCTTGCATCGTGCTCTCCCAGTCGACCAACTGGGTCAGAAGCGCGTCGAACGATGTACTAAGGTGTGGTGGACGGTATACATTCTCGACCGCAAGTTCTCTTCGTTGATCGGGTCACCGGCTTCAGTGAATGACGAGGACGTAACCACAGTCCTGTGGGACCCGATGACCTGCTCCCAGGAGACAGCAGCTTTGAGCCTTCATGTCAAGATCACGCAGGTCATCACGCGGGTGTTAAATAGTAAGCGACCTGCCAGGTGGTGATAACAGGCTGACGTCGCCCACAGCGGTGTACAGCGCAAACGGGAAGTTGGGCGGTGCCTTTCTTCATGGCATCCGCTCCATACTACATGAAATGACCGACCTGTCGCGGGAACTGGAGGAGGTTTTCGCGTATCGATTCTCGAGTTCAGTGGATACTCTTTCCGGTACGGCCACTCGGTTAACGCTTTCCTGTCATTCGGTGAGTGACATTTCTTCGATAAAGACCCAGGAGGCTTATGGAGAACAGTGCATTATCGTCACCGCTCGTCCACTCATCCTGAGTTTGCTCTGGGAACGACTAAGCTGCTTCAAAGACGGCGACGTCTTCCGAAGTCTATCTTCCCCCATCCGAACCCTGATCCAAGCGTGTACCGAATCAGCACTCAGATCATTGAAGATACTGACGGCCCTGCGAGATCAGAATCTCCTTGGTTAGTCCCAATGCTCCTGGCCGATGCGTACCCTAACAGCAAGACAGAAACTTTTCTCCCCTTCGACCTCGAGAACCTCTTTTCGTCCTTCTTTATTCTCTCCTTGATCTCCGCCGTCTTGCCCGGCTCAATACCGGACCACAGTTACCGCGATATGGGCTTCAGTCTGTTAGACGAGATGATCGCCAGGGGAAACCGCGTCGCGCAACTTCGCAGATCGGAGATTGAGCTTCTCGAAGAGCTGGTGCAACCGCTAATACGGCCAGAGACCCCTCACCGTGAAGAGGACGCTGGAATTCCTCTGATTGAGTCAATCAACGAAAAAAGCTCTGTAGCTCAACAGGAGCGCCACGGACTGGGTCCGGATGCAGATGGTCCCGGTCCGACTCCCGCAGTCACAGTCACAGGAGCACAGGAGGAGGAGCTCCTTTTCGACTGGCGGGATTTTGGACTATCATTGAATCACATGCTTTTGGCGACGGATGAGCTGAACGCGAACAGCTTGGTTCCTGGAGGCGAGGGCGAGGAGTTACCGGCTGACTTGTGGCTGTGGGGTGACGGCTAGCTTAATTTACCTTTCTCTCAACGAGAATAGAGCATTAGCATTAGAGATTCCGATACTCTCTCTGTGATACTGTAGATATCGGAATGTCGATCTTTCCAGACTGTATTACTTCGTTAATGGCGCTATTGCTCCTTGTCTGATAAAGCAGCAACGTACGGTCTGCCATACGACCGTATCTTAATGTCTTAGAACAGCCTTTCGTATGAAAATAGGTATCAAACACGACCTCTTCACCCGAGTGCCCATATCTAAACCATTCTTGCTACCATTTGATTATTTTAAACGTTCTAGCAGCACGCAGTGTATGAAAGCTAGATGCGCATGCCGGGCACGGAGATCTTCAAATATGTCACTGAAATTAGCATGAATGGCCTGCAATGACAGATCTATCTAAGGTTTCTGCTCCGTAAGTAAATTCGTAATTGAATGGCCTACGTATGCAGATACGTGGATTCGGACATTGGCCCGGATCTTCAGACTACAGCGGCTATTTTTCTGTCTTAATTGCCGACTGAATTGATCTCCATATATGAAAATGCTTGTCATTTATCCATGATGAACATGTTAGAATTGTGCCTCCCATGAAAGCAATCCATAATGTAAAGCCGTGGCTACGTCCGAAATGTACTTGATTCATCGGCCCATTGTGCATACGTGTCTCGAGCGCAACGCTTCTCAACGCTGGTTTTTTCCCGTACCATCGACAATGTGTGTGCCTAGACTAGAATAGTATTCAATAGTACCAAGCATTCGTCATCTTGATCTAGAGTTTTGTCTCATGCCAGTGGCTGCTGTTAGCGGGTCGAAGGCGTTCATTAGAGCCGTTGTAAACGTAAGTGAAGGGATCCACTCACGTTTCCTTCTGAAGGAAAGAGACAATTCCACGTCCCTCACCATTGTATGCTTAAGACATTACAATAATACTTGCTATAATAGGAGCATAAGCCGAGTGGAACGGTGCTATTATAGGTTGAAAGTTGGTGTATTCTGGTATATGAAGCGCAGTTGCATATTAAGGGCGCCATAGGTGAGAGGGAGTAAAAAGGACTGAGAGAGCAACACTATCGGTTGTTATTCTGCACATGTGTCTGTCTGATATAATTCATAGAATCTAGACCTCCGATCAAATTTTTGAGGACTTGGAAATCCCACCGTCCTGCCATAAGGTTACGCCCGGAGATGCCACTGCAAGACAAAAACACGGTAATGCTGTTGTATAGATACCAGCCCACGAATCAGGTCAATTCTACTGCATAACCACATAGAAGATTCAAGGTCTTTTTATTGTTCCTTTGCGCATTTCCTGGTTCTGAGTGGCTGAGAATGTTGACGACGCAAGGAGGGCCCGCTTACGTAGGGATGGCATGTTGGTTCCAGGATGACAATCAACAATCAACAAGCCTAGGTCCAGAACGGCGCAGACTATATCAATTCAGCTAGTCAGTCGTCTAAACGCTCTTAGGTCTTGATGGGATGGGGCAACTCGTTTCATATTCGGTACTCCATTGGGTTTGACCCGAGCGGACGGTTGATGAATACCAATTGACTAGACGAGCGTCTGTCCAATATGTCTGCTTTTTCTTGGGCGTTGACGATAGACAGACTTGACCATACGTCTTGCCTATAATCGTTCAGGTCTTTGATCTTTGGCGCTGGTCCCACTTGGCGAGGTTCAGGAGTCTTCATCCAGTCGTTCATTCATATATCGCACCCAACGCTCTTTTTCACGGGATCACCATCGCTGCCACTCCTTTGACTGTTTTACACCAATTCTATCAAACATTGGTCACTCCTTTTATAAGAGAGCTAGATTTACCCATTCGTCATGAAGTGGGAGTCGTTCCTTTTGACAGCCATCACCGCTGGCTCGGCCATGGCTGGAGCACATCATGCGCACGAGCATGCTCATCGTCGTCAGCGTCTTGCTCACAATGCAGAATTGATGGCCAGGCAGATCGGCGCCCATGCCAACCTGGCGATCAGCACCAAGACTATCGTCAACCTCGACGTTGTCACCATGTACACCACTATCACGCGACACCATCCTGCCCCCGCGCAAACCACTACCGTGGCAGGCGCAAAGGCTTCCACTGCTGGCAGCCAGCCTCTCGCAGGCGTCAACCTCGGCGTTTCTGTGAACCTTCTAGATGTTCTTCCGCCCACCACCAACACAGCCACTACGTTTAGTACTGGCACCAGCACCAGGACTAGGACCAGCAGCGCCACAGCGTCTGCTGCGATCAGCAACTCCGGCAACAGCGCCAGCTGGACCTCCACTCCTTCAAATGGCGTGTACTCGACCTCTGGCTTCGGCCAACGCACCACCTCATCCGGCTCGGGGATCGAGTACACCGGCAACGTCGGCAGCCCCTGGGGCAGCAACATCATCGAGGTGACCGCCTCCACGGCCTCACAGTATAAGTACGTCGTGAAGTTTACAGGCAGCAACACCAATGACTGGTTCGTCTCATTCTGGAACAAGATGGGCCCCGAGGGCAAGCTGGATGGGTGGTACGGCCACTCGGCGCTCAACTTCACCCTTGCGGCTGGCGAGACCAAGTACGTTGCCTTTGACGAGAACTCGCAGGGAGGGTGGGGTGCCGCTGAGGGCGACTCGCTGCCGACGGATGAATACGGGGGGTACGCCTGTACCTGGGGAGAATTTGATTTTGGGAATACCGGTAACGCTGAGTGGTCTGGGTGGGATGTGTCTGCCATCCAGGCGCAGAAGGCGGGTCTGACGGTGCAGGGGATGAAGATCTGTGATTATAAGGGAGATGATTGCTCGTATATCACGACTAATGCCGCCAAGGTGGTGAATGCGTACACGGAGGCGCAGGCATCTGTTGATGGCATCGGGGGTAGTGTGAGTGCCGGCGCGGTGAGATTAGTAGTTGAGGTGGATTACAGTGGTTGAGTTGTTTGACCTCGACTGTACATACACAGTTTAATCAGGTAAATAGATTTTAGACTGTACACACTGATCTATCTTCCTCTTGGTCAGCCCTTCATTCTTGCCCGCGCAAAGCCGTCTACTCTGATGAGGAAAAGGCTCAATAAATTGATGATGTCCAATACTATCTAGAGATGAATAAAAGAGACTTTGCGCTGAATGACGTTCACCAGTCCCGAGACTGGAAGCTAAGGTGAGCGAGATAGATGAGCTATAACTCTACGAACTAGACATGGCGGGAATAGTGATGCTCTCAATCGTCCACACCTTTCCTCCCTCGCTCGAGCTCAGACCAGAATACGTCGCACCGGCAGCCGAAGCAATGGTGTTGCCAAAGGTAGTGTCGGCCGAGGCTAGAGTGATCTTCGTGTTGAGGTACTTTTGCTCTGCAACAGTGCCTGAGCAACCACCGTTGCACTCCGTTCCAGTGCCGTATCTACTCGATCAGCATGAGATCTATAATTCGGAACAAACAACTCACCCAGTCATATACGGCCCAGACTTGTGCGAGAAGGTCGAGAGAACCTTGCCCGTCTGCGCATTTGTAACGTTCCTAGCGACATTAGCAAACGTCCTACAGGCAGTGCGATATACATACTGCACCCAAGTGTCCTGATCATCCAACAAGGTATACTCGATGCGAACCTGATCCGTTCCGCTCACCGGGCTGGCATCCCCATCCAACTGTCCAAAACTACCGAACAGACTAGCCCTTACACACCACTGGCCCGTCGCTGCACCGCACCAGGCATTGCTGGGCCAGCTTTCCAGCGTGGTCTGGACCAGATCGCCAGTGCCGTTGCTCATCCCGGGCCAGAGGAAGAGCTCACCACTTTGAGTTGCAGGCGCCGCACCGGGGATGAGTGTGGTGACTGCGTTGACGATGGTGGATTTGGTAGGGCCGAGAGAGACGCTGCCGCCCCAGGTGTCTACACGTTTGATGACGGAGGCAGATAGGCCCAGGGTAGGGAGGAGGAGGCCGAGTACGAGCTTCATTATGATGGTACGAAGAGAGTCAACCGCTAAGCACTGAAAGATTTGTTCTTGATGGCATTCGATTTGGCATGCAGAAACTGGGCTTTAAGTGTTCGTGCGACTGCTTCAGGGGGACAAAGAATGCCTCTTCGCAATCTATTCGAGAGCAAATCGGACTCTGGCGAATCAGCCTGAAACGAGCCATACAGCCCCTGGTACATGTAGATTCTCCACCACTAAGTTGGCTTGCCAACTTAACTTGCTTAAGCTCAAAATTGACAGGTGGGTGAGACACGGAAATTCTTCGGTTCTTATTCAATATCATGACAGTGCCGACTGGCATCCAATTTTCCAGTCATTCTTCACAGCACTCGTGGACCGTTTTTCCGTGATGGGGGGAACTAGTACCCTACAGTCTCAGGTAAAGTCTGCGTGTTTTGGAGACCTGCCAGGCATACTCTGCTGTGTCGCATTGTCATGGCACCTGATATTAAGGCCAAGGTGTTTTAGCACTGCCATAGTTTTGCAGGATATCGCTCGCTCACTCCTTAGGATCCCACGTGGCCAGCATATTCGGATTTCCTCATACACAAACAGAGACGATGCGGAGCCAGTACGGAGAATAGCCTCGTTTTAGGCTGTTGATATGCATGAGAGTACACTCCCCTTTCAAATAAACATACGAGTAGAGGATCATGCCAATGCGCCCTTGTTTCGTCATGACTCATGATATCCATGGTATCCACTTGAGCATGTTTTGGCTTCTCTGATTTTGGCTGATAGATTAAAACTATCGACTGTTTTCCTCAACGAGCTCGCATAGCTCAGTTGGTAGAGCGCATGACTAGTAATCATGAGGTCAGCGGTTCAAATCCGCTTGTGAGCATTTCTTTTTCGGCTCTTGTTTTGGCTATCATCACTATGATGAGATGCTGGTTCGAGTCCGAGTGCGAGCAACGTACTTTCGTTTTTTTGCTCTGTGGGTTATAAGACTGGTCGTATAACTCAGAAATCTTATATCTAATATCGATGTGGCCTTGTTGTGAGTACGTAAGGAACGCCAAAGTCACTGACCCAAGACAAGGGCAGTCTGTTCTAAGGTGTAGCCTATTTACATATCACAGCAGTAGAACATCACCATCAGCAACCAGAGAGATCCATATCCTGCCCTGATTTAGGGACAGTGGCCGGGTAAGTAGAGGTGATCTATTCTTGATTCACGTCTGCCTATAACCAACGTATGGAGGCGATGCCCCACGGTCGGCAGCACAGCCATAGCTCTCGCACCGAATCATCATGCACCATTGGGGCAAGTGGGTTGGTTCGCCGCGCTTATTATTGCTTGTCTGCTATTAATTCTATTAATTCTATATCTGTGCTAGGTAGCTGCCGATGATGTCGAACGCTTTATCTTTCTGCCTGGTGCCACTGATCGCCATCACTCTATATAAATCTCCGTTCCTCGGGCAAAGGAATATCAACATCAACAAAGACCAGCTCATCCAAAATGCCCTCCAAAGCAGATAACACCAAAACTACATCCTCATCTCCTTCAAGCCCCGGGACCAAAAAGTCGCTAACACAAAATAAAGCATGGATCTACGGCAAAAAAGGCTTCGACAAAGCCTGGGACGCTCTCGATAAAGTCGGCGCCCCGGTGAACCGGCTAAGCAACAAACTCGGCTCTGAAGCTTTCTGGCCCATGACGCTGGACAAAGAAAGCGAAAAGGCCTCTCGGATCCTGCGCAGTTTCTGCAAGGATGGAGTATACGTTGCCGAAGATGCGACCGTGGCAACCCGGGAACAGACGCCCGACGGGAAGATCGACAAACCACGAGGTAAACCCAAGGTTCTGCAGAAGATTCCCGCGGAGGTGATCCGCCAGGCCAAGGGCATTGCCGTCTTCACAGCCATGAGGACGGGACTGTGGTTCAGTGGTGCTGGCGGAAGTGGGATCCTCGTAGCTCGCGTACCCGAGACAGGGGAATGGAGTGCGCCTTCGGGAATATTGCTGCATACCGCTGGCCTCGGCTTCCTGGCTGGCATAGACATCTACGACTGCGTCATGGTCATCAATACATACGAGGCGTTGGAAGCGTTCACCAAAGTGCGGGTGACGCTGGGAAGCGAGATCTCCGTCGCGGCTGGGCCGGTGGGCATGGGAGGGGTGCTGGAGTCGGAAGTGCACAAACGACGGGCCCCCATCTGGTCGTACGTCAAGAGTCGCGGCTTCTACGCTGGGGCACAGATTGACGGGACGATCCTGATCGAGCGCAACGACGAGAATGAGCGGTTTTATGGTCGCAAGGTACCTGTCAAGGAGATCGTGGCCGGTCACGTCCGGACGGAGAACCCGTCGGTTCAGATGTTGACGCATACTCTTCATTCGGCGCAGGGCGACAAGCAGTTTGATCTGACTCCGTCTGGGGTTGCTGTACCGACAGGGCCGAGTCCAAGTGATTTCGCGCCCGAGGATCTGGCGAATTCGAATCTGATAGCGCACGGGGCATTGGCAGCTCCAGCTCAGATGGCGACCGCAACTTCTGCTACCGCCAACGACCGTTCCATACCTGTGGATGGCTCACAGAGCGAGGAGGCCATCGTTGCGCAGATGGAGAGCATGGGCTTTGCTAGAATCGATATCGATCGGGCCATGAGAGCGGCGTCCTTCAACCCCGATATCGCCGTGGAGTATCTGCTGAATGTGAGCTGGCCGAGACCTCATGCATTTTATTCGACTAACATGTTTGATTTTCCAGGGGATTCCCGATGAAGACCATCCTGAGCAACAGCAACAGCCGGCCGTTGCTACCGCGCCAGATCATCAAGAGCCTCCAGCTCCTCCTCTTCCACCCAGGCATCACTAATGCGGTCTTATTTATGATGAAGCCACGAATTTGCATATAGACATTTTGGATACTTTATTTGACCTCTGCATACTTTTCCAACGCACGATGTAACTGTCCCCATAGTCCATCATGCCAACTCAGCAACTGCTCCCACTCCTCTATCGTCTTCTTGTAAAACTTCAGCCAGCTACCTACAATAAAATCGGCATATGTAGGCGCATCACCCTCAAGAAAGGGGCCGTCCGTTCGCCGGTACGCCTTTGCTAGCTCTCCCAGCGCATTCTGGAAGCTCTCGAGCATCCGCGCCCTCTCCTCGCCTGTGATCATCAGATCCTCATAGCGCTCCTTGCCCGCTCGCTTGGCAAACGTCGCTTTAGACTCCTCCACTGTCGCAGGATTGTAAGGCATCCCCTGGACACACAGAACGCAGTGCTGGGTGAAGACAGCATCGACCTGGGAATTGAAGGCGGAGATCAGGCCAACAGTCGAAGGAGGGAATAATCTCGGCCCCTCGGGGTAGAGTCTGTCAAGGTACTGCGCGATCTCAAATGAGTCGCCCACAAGTTCACCTGTCGCGTTGTTTCGGATGATAGGAAGGGTGTAGAACGGACTGCCGTCGGGGAGGACTCTGTTGGCTGCTAGGCCGAGTCTCTTGCGAACGGCGGGTACTTCGGGCAGTTCTACCCATTCTGTTTGATAGTGGACTTGTTTAAAGTTGAGGGCGTATCTGTTGCATCTTAGCTTATGTGCTGGTTGGATAATAAATATGACGCACCTTGTTTTCCAGGGATTCGGCGCATAGCAAGTGACTGGTGGGGCGGAGGCAATATCATAGAAGAGAATGGCCGGCTTGGAATTGGATTCCATTATGGTGATCGGATAAGATGTGGACCGTGTACTCCGTAGTAGATCTATTTTGACGGGCTGACCAGAAGAACCAGCTTCAATGATCAATAGAAGGTGAGATGAGTGTGATTTGGGTTAAGGATGGTGCAATCTACGATATTTATATATAAGACCGCGACCGTTGTTTTTTCATTGATTGATTCCTGGACAGCATCACTTGCATGGATCATAACGGATCAGGATGAGCCAACATGACTCATGCTTGGCATTTTGGTGGTGCTGTCCTGATGTAAT